CCTCAATTTCAGAGCCTGCTATTGGTCTATTCAGGGATTCAACTTCTTCCTGGTTTAGTCTTGGAAGAGTGTAAGTGTCCAGGAAATTATCCATTTCTTCTAGATTTTCTAGTTTATTTGCGTAGAGGTGTTTATAGTATTCTCTGATGGTAGTTTGTATTTCTGTGGGGTCGGTGGTGATATCCCCTTTATCATTTTTTATTGCGTCTATTTGATTCTTCTCTCTTTTCTTCTTTATTAGTCTTGCTAGTGGTCTGTCAATTTTGTTGATCTTTTCAAAAAACTAACTCCTGGATTCATTGATTTTTTGGAGGGTTTTTTGTGTCTCTATCTCCTTCAGTTCTGCTCTGATCTTAGTTATTTCTTGCCTTCTGCTAGCTTTTGAATGCGTGTGCTCTTGCTTCTCTAGTTCTTTTAATTGTGATATTAGAGTGTCAATTTTAGATCTTTCCTGCTTTCTCTTGTGGGCATTTAGTGCTATAAATTTCCCTCTACACACTGTTTCAAATGTGTCCCAGAGATTCTGGTATGTTGTGTCTTTGTTCTCATTGGTTTCAAAGAACATCTTTATTTCTGCCTTCATTTCGTTATGTACCCAGTAGTCATTCAGGAGCAGGTTGTTCAGTTTCCATGTAGTTGAGCGGTTTTGATTGAGTTTCTTAGTCCTGAGTTCTAGTTTGATTGCACTGTGGTCTGAGAGACAGTTTGTTACAATTTCTGTTCTTGTACATTTGCTGAGGAGTGCTTTATTCCAATTATGTGGTCAATTTTGGAATAAGTGCAGTGTGGTGCTGAGAAGAATGTATATTCTGTTGATTTGGGGTGGAGAGTTCTATAGATGTCTGTTAGGTCTGCTTGCTGCAGAGATGAGTTCGATTCCTGGATATCCTTGTTAACTTTCTGTCTCGTTGATCTGTCTAATGTTGACAGTGGAGTGTTGAAGTCTCCCATTATTATTGTATGGGAGTCTAAGTCTCTTTGTAAGTCTCTAAGGACTTGCTTTATGAATCTGGGTACTCCTGTATTGGGTGCATATATATTTAGGATAGTTAGCTCTCCCTGTTGAATTGATCCTTTTACCATTATGTAGTGGCCTTCTTTGTCTCTTTTGATCTTTGATGGTTTTAAGTCTGTTTTATCAGAGACTAGTATTGCAACTCCTGCTTTTTTTTGTTCTCCATTTGCTTGGTAAATCTTCCTCCATCCCTTTATTTTGAGCCTATGTATGTCTCTGCATGTGAGATGGGTCTCCTAAATACAGCAGACTGATGGGTCTTGACTCTTTATCCAGTTTGCCAGTCTGTGTCTTTTAATTGGAGCATTTAGTCCATTTACATTTAAGGTGAATATTGTTATGTGTGAACTTGATCCTGCCATTATGATATTAACTGGTTATTTTGCTCACTAGTTGATGCAGTTTCTTCCTAGCCTAAATGGTCTTTACATTTTGGCATGTTTTTGCAATGGCTGGTACCGTTCGTTCCTTTCCATGTTTAGTGGTTCCTTCAGGGTCTCTTGTAAGGCAGGCCTAGTGGTGACAAAATCTCTAAGCATTTGCTTATCTGTAAAGGATTTTATTTCTCCTTCACTTATGAAACTTAGTTTGGCTGGATATGAAATTCTGGGTTTAAAATTCTTTTCTTTAAGAATGTTGAATATTGGCCCCCACCCTCTTCTGGCTTGTGGAGTTTCTGCCGAGTCTGCTGTTAGTCTGATGGGCTTCCCTTTGTGGGTAACCTGACCTTTCTCTCTGGCTGCCCTTAAGATTTTTTCCTTCATTTCAACTCTGGTGAATCTGGCAATTATGTGTCTTGGAGTTGCTCTTCTCGAGGAGTATCTTTGTGGCATTCTCTGTATTTCCTGGATTTGAATGTTGGCCTGCCCTACTAGGTTGGGGAAGTTCTCCTGGATGATATCCTGAAGAGTGTTTTCCAACTTGGTTCCATTTTCCTCCTCACTTTCAGGCACCCCAATCAGACGTAGATTTGGTCTTTTTACATAATCCCATACTTCTTGCAGGCTTTGTTCATTTCTTTTTCTTCTTTTTTCTTTTGGTTTCTCCTCTCGCTTCATTTCGTTCATTTGATCCTCAATCGCTGATACTCTTTTTTCCAGTTGATTGAGTCAGTTACTGAAGCTTGTGCATTTGTCACGTATTTCTCGTGTCATGGTTTTCATCTCTTTCATTTCGTTTATGGCCTTCTCTGCATTAATTACTCTAGCCATCAATTCTTCCACTTTTTTTTTCAAGATTTTTAGTTTCTTTGCACTGGGTACGTAATTCCTCCTTTAGCTCTGAGAAGTTTGATGGACTGAAGCCTTCTTCTCTCATCTCATCAAAGTCATTCTCCGTCCAGCTTTGATCCATTGCTGGTGATGAGCTGCGCTCCTTTGCCGGGGGAGATGCGCTCTTATTTTTTGAATTTCCAGCTTTTCTGCCCTGCTTTTTCCCCATCTTTGTGGTTTTATCTGCCTCTGGTCTTTGATGATGATGGTGACGTACTGATGGGGTTTTGGTGTAGGTGTCCTTCCTGTTTGATAGTTTTCCTTCTAACAGTCAGGACCCTTAGCTGTAGGTCTGTTGGAGATTGCTTGAGGTCCACTCCAGACCCTGTTTGCCTGAGTGTCAGCAGCAGAGGCTGCAGAAGATAGAATATTGCTGAACAGCGAGTGTACCTGTCTGATTCTTGCTTTGGAGGCTTCCTCTTAGGAGTGTACTCCACCCTGTGAGGTGTGGGGTGTCAGACTGCCACTAGTGGGGGATGTCTCCCAGTTAGGCTACTCAGGGGTCAGGGACCCACTTGAGCAGACAGTCTGTCCCTTCTCAGATCTCAACCTCCGTGTTGGGAGATCCACTGCTCTCTTCAAAGCTGTCAGACAGAGTCGTTTGCGTCTGCAGAGGTTTCTGCTGCTTTTGTTGTTGTTTAGCTGTGCCCTGTCCCCAGAGGTGGAGTCTACAGAGACAGGCAGGTTTCCTTGAGCTGCTGTGAGCTCCACCCAGTTTTAGCTTCCCAGGGGCTTTGTTTACCTACTTAAGCCTCAGCAATGGCAGGCGCCCCTCCCCCAGCCTCGCTGCTGCCTTGGGGTTAGATTGCAGACTGCTGTGCTAGCAATGAGGGAGGTTCCGTGGGCGTGGGACCCTCCTGGGGACTCTGTATATTTTTAAATGAAGAATGCTGTTTTTACCTAAATCAATCTGGCCTGGTATATGACAACATTAAAAAAAAAAAAACTGAAGGATAGAGCCCAAATACTCACCAACCAAGTAAACAATAACATTGAACCCCCTTGGACACCCTCTAATTCGATGTCCTGCGTACTCCCAATTCTTAGTCCTTTAATACCTATTTTTCTCCTTCTTTTATTTGGACCTTGTGTCTTTCATTTAGTTTCTCAATTCATACAAAACCATATCCAGGCCATCACTAATAATTCTATATGACAAATGCTCCTTCTAACAACCCCACAATATCGCCCTTTACCCCATAATCTTTCTTTAGTTGAATCTCTCACACTCTAGGTTCCCACGCTGCCCCTAATCCCACTCGAAGAAGCCCTGAGAAACATCGCCCATCATCTCTCCACACCACCCCCAAAAATTTTCACTGCCCCAACACTTTACCACTATTTTGTTTTATTTTTCTTATTAATATAAGAAGACAGGAATGTCAGGCCTCTGCGCCCAAGCTAAGCCATCATATCCCCAGTGACCTGCATGTGTACATCCAGAAGGCCTGAAGCAACTGAAGATTCACAGAAGTGAAAATAGCCTTAACTGATGACATTCCACCATTGTGATTTGTCTCTGCCCCACCCTAGCTGATCAATGTACTTTGTAATCTCCCCCACCCTTAAGAAGGTTCTTTATAATCTCCCCCACCCTTGAGAATGTACTTTGTGAGATCCACCCCCTGCCCCCAAACATTGCTATTAACTCCACTGCCTATCCCAAAACCTCTAAGAACTAATGATAATCCCACCACCCTTTGCTGACTCTGTTTTCGGACTCAACCTGCCTGCACCCAGGTGAAATAAACAGCCATGTTGCTCACGCACAGGCAGTTTGGCGGGGTCTTCACACTGACACATGAGACAGAAATAAAACCCATAAATGAGGACAATGCTTATCCTCAAATAATGGCAATTTCAAGATCAATAGGGGTGATGATTTGGCAGGGCGGTGTTGGTGAGGGTGGAGAAAGCCCTTCTAAAAATTTCTGAGATAGAGGACATTGTAGATAATCGATTACCTACACCCCAAATGAAGTCCTTGTGCTCCTTGGAGTGTTACTGGCTTTGCCTTTTGCTCTCTGCATGGTGAGTGTTAGATGTTAGGAGACATCTAACATCTGAAGGCAAGATCTCTCTCTCTTTGTATCTCTGTCTCTCTTTGTCTGTCTCGCTCTCTCTCTTTCCATCTCTCTCTGTTTCTCCCTCAGTTAACCAGGCAGGCCAGGAAATAACAGTGCAGAGCCAAGTGTAGAATCTCATTGCTTATTATTTTTTCATATATATGTATAATCAAATCAAAACAAGACAACAGCAAAAAAAAAATAAAAACTTTTTGTTTTTATCTTCCCCAATTTATGTCCTTGGAAGTAGATTTTGTTTTTATTATGCTAACATCAAGGGATCAACATATTTTTAAAGGAAATATCAAAAAGCCTATTAAAAGTTGGAGTAATTTTAGTAGTTTTGTGAGGGGACAGATACCATGTTGTAGCTAAGTTATAGAAACAATTCAAGATACAGATGTGGCTTGAGGCTAAATTATATGTAACTTAAAATTGGACAAAGGAAAGAAGGGGCATAATTTAATCTGATCATGGGAATAAATGGCATATCATTTGAAAAAGAAACATCTCAAAAAATGTATGAATTCACTTCAAATATGAAGTTGTAGGAAAAGAAGTAGGAAAACATAAAATAACAAACTTTTCTGTCGAGGAATGTAGGAGTGATTTTCATTATGTGAAATCTGTGTTTCTTCATTGATTAAGGCTGGAAGCTCTGCTGTGAAGTTACTTGAACGAGAGGTGAACATTCTGAAAAGTGTAAAACATGAACACATCATACATCTGGAACAAGTATTTGAAACGCCAAAGGTAAAGCTCTATTAGGTGCTGCATTTTGAAAGTTGTTATTATTACAAAATGAATACCATTCCATTCTGAAGTAATCCCTTTGGGGCACAGTTGCTCATGTCCTTGGCATGAATCTGTCATTGGAGATTAATGAGAACATTCTGGAGGACTTTTATTATTGATTGTATAATTAGATGTCTGATGATTAGATTGATGTCTTCGGTAATATGTTTTGGGTGGCATGTTGAAAACAAATGTTTAAAATTACAACAACTTCATACACAACCAAACAGTGATTAAAACTTTCTTAGAGGTCCCTTTCCTTTTGCTTTGATCCTTAGTTTCTCCATTAAAGTTTATTGGAATAGTTTCAGAATTTTGCAAAGTTAACTACATAATCAAATTGGTATGAGTACATTTTTCACTATAGTTTGTAGGAGATATTTTTTTCACCTATGTCTTACTAATGTGTTTTATCTTCATATTTCCCTAGATGCTATCATTCTCTTTACGTGTAATTTTTATTTAGAGTTGTTCAGCAGCCTGGATTATTCGCCATTCTGCCTCCAGATTGTTTAATGCTTGTGGGCTTGGGTGTTTTCTCTTAGAAGAGTAATAATGTATGGATTAGGCATAAGAACTCTGGAATCATATTGCCTGTGCATTTGAATCCTGTCTCCACCACTTCTTAGTTATCCATGAGAACATGGACAAGTTATTCAACTTGCCCATTTCACAGTTCCCTCATCTGTAAAATGGGCTTGTTAACAGTGTTGACCTCACTTGGTTGCTGTTGAAGGATTACATGAGACAATTGATATAAAGCATCTGTCTCATTAAATGGTAGCTATTGTTCTCTGTCTCCTAGGCCAGTCTCTAAGGTAGTAATAGTCAATTTGGGTTGTACATTATGCTTGATTCATTAGGGGTGCTTGATAACAATTAAAGACCACAGTTATCCTTTATGAGAGCAGTATATGGCAATGATGCCCAAAGTCTCTGCCCTTTTCAGTCTTAGAGTTGTGATTTCTTTTATCCCCAAATCTTCTTAGAATAGTTTTATTCATTATCATCAGTTTTAAGCCATTTGATTATAATGTGCCTTGATCATTTTCTTCATGTTTTTTTTTGTGTGTGTGTTTGGGGTTCAGGTATCTGTAAGTTTATGGTTTTCATCAAATTTAGGAAATTGGGGGCTACTATTTCCTCACATTTGTATTTGCCTTCCCCTCACCCTACTTTGTGGTCTCCAAGCTAGATTGCTTGATATTGTCCACAGTTCACTGATGCTCTGTTCATTTTTTAAAACATTTTTTATCTCCTTGTTTCATTTTGTATAGTTTCTGTTGTTGTCTTCAAATTCAGTAGTCTCTCTCTGTGTAGCATTGTCTGTGTCGTTAATCTCTTCCAGTGGAAATACGATTTGGTTTTTAAAATATATATATATTCCATGTGTCTACTTCACATGCTCAGTCTTCTTGAATAGAGTTATAATAACTGTTTTCATGTCCTTTTCTACTAATTTTATCATGGGTGTCATTTCTAGGTCAGTTTCAATTTATTGGGTTTTTTTCCCCCTTCGTTATGGGTTCTACTTTCCTGCTGCTTTATATGCCTATTAATTTTTGGCCAGATGCCAGATGTTGTGAATTTTACCTTGTTAGATGCTAGATATTTTAATATTCTAATGATTATTCTTAAGCTTTATTCTAGGATATAGTTAAGTCACTTGGAAACAGTTTGATACTTTTTGAAGCTTGCTTTAAACTTCATTAGGTGGCACCAAAGCAACCTTTAGGAATAATTTTTTCCTGTTACTGAGGGGCTCTCCCCAGTGCTCCATGAATTACGAGGTTTACCTCCGGCTCGTGGGAGCACAACAGTTCCTGGCTGTGTGTAAGCTCCAGTGATTGTTCCCTCTGTCCCTTTTGCATATTTTCCCCCCAGCTTTGGGTAGTTTCCTCATACACATGTGTTGATTCATACTCTCCTGAAGAATTGAGGGGGTCCTCTGCAAATCTCTGGAGATTTCTCTCTGTACAGCATTCTTTGATGCTCTGTCCTGTGAACTTTAGTTGTCTTGGCCTTCCTGGACTTCCGGCTCCGTGCCCTCTACTCATGGAGACTGCTAGACTCTGCTTGGATTCCCTCTCCCTGTTCTGTGGTCCGGGAACTGTCTAGACAGCAAGCTAGAATAATCATGGGGACTGCCTCATGTGTTTTCTCTCTCTCAGGAATAACTACCCTATGCTGGCTGATGTTTAATGTCTAAAAATTACTGTTTTATATATTTGCCCAATTCTTAAGTTGTTTCAGGTGGGAAGATAAGTCTGGTCTTTGTTACTCCATTATGAACACAAGCGGGAGTCTAAATCTAGAATAAGTTTGAAGGCAGAGGAAACCATCGTTTGTGATTTTTCCAGTGCATTGCTTTCCAAACTTAATTCACGTAGGTCAGGTCTGACCCCTCCTGCCTCATAAACACACACAAGCATGTAGACCTTCTATTGAAGCCATCTGAAGTACTAATAGAAATTGCCACCTGATTGCTTGTGCCATGGTACGGATCATCCAGTCTGACTATGCTGTGGTTTCTTGTGAGTCTAAATGTTCTCCAGGTCTATAAAATTGTTTCTAATAATTATAAAACAGTTATAACTTATATAACTTTGACCAACTTATATATTTAAAATTGACATCAATTTATATTTCAAGTACTGCTAATCCAACCTTTCCTTCCAAATAGTTCACTTATCATTTTATGTACCAGTGAACTGTACAGTCCTGTCAATGGAAAAAATATGGTCCAGTTCAAAAGCTTATTTATGTGTTAGATTTTATAGTTACTTTTGAAATTCTAAAACTGCCTGAGATTCAGTGAATCTGAATTGCACTATAGGAAGAAAGGATGTTAACCTTCGCTTTCTGTTTTCCTACTTACTGATTGAACACAGAAGTTGCACTAACAGTGCTTATAAGAACAAAATCAGACCTCAAGATCTTAAAAACAACAAAAATCTAGCAGCACAGGTTAGAATGGAGACATAAAGGGTACCCTGTGTTTGAATAGAAATGTGTATGGAAAAGACTTACTTTTTAGTTGACTATGAATCTTTTTTGACTCAATAGATGACTTGGCTGTCAGAATACCTAAAGTGATCTTAATATGCCCCTATATGAACAGCAAATATGGAATTTATATGCCCCTACATGAACAGCAAATATGAAATAGGCATTTCAACTATGACTTCTTACCACTCACACCCAATTAGTCACTAAGTCCCACTGTTTCTTTCTTGTTGGTATTTTTAAATCTTTTCATTTTCCTCCTTCTGGTCTTGATTCTATGCCTCACATCTACCCTCTATAAACAAAAGTCAGCATACTACAGTTTGAGAGCCACATTGGGCCTGCTGCCTTTTTTTTTTATGACCCATAAACTAAGTTTCTACATTTCCAAATGGTTGCAAAAGTGTAAAAGAGTGATATTTCATGACATGTAAAAATTCTATAAACCTGAAATTTTCAAGTCTAGAAGTAAAGCTTTGTTGTGTTGTTTATGGCTGCTTTCTCCTGCTATAGCAACAGCACTGAGTAGTTGTGAAAGAGACTCCATGGCCTGCAAAGCCAATAATATTTGCTATTGGGTCTGCTCTCTATAGCAAAGGTTTGTTGAGCCCTGTTCTGCATTACTGCTAGAGTGTTCATTTAGAAATGCACAATTGGTAATATCATACACGTGCACCCCCGCAACCCTGGCACTAGCTTAAAATTCTTCAGTGGCTCCTTATTGCGTATAGGAAAAAAAATCCGTACTCCTTTTCGTGATATCCAGAACTCTTTACAACCCGGCCCAAACCTGTTCTTTCTAGCCTCACTCCTCACCACTTCATTCTTCTCCACCCTACCAAGTTCTCCATGTTATTAACACAGATTATTCTTTTAACAGCCAGTGCTGTTTCAAGCTTTGGAGTCTTTGTAAATACCATGTGCTCTGTCTATTCTTTCCCACATTCTCTATCTATGAATCCCTATTCAGACATCCAGATCTGGCCTTAATATTTCTTCTCCAGGGGCATTCTTTAGACAGAGGCTGCCCCCTTCTGTAACTCCATGGCATTTGGGACCATTAGCACTTATCACATGATACTGTAATGATAACTATTTGTGAGCTTCTTGGGGATAAAGACTGTGTCTTTACCTTTTTGTTTCTCTAGTATCCACTGTGTACATAATAGTTAATACTTTTCAATGAATAAATTAATGATTATGACTGTGATTGTATATGTGATATATAACATTTTAAACATCCCTAGATGTATAATTTGATCTCTGTCTCTTTTATATATATAATGTCAGAAAATGTACCTTGTGATGGAGCTTTGTGAGGATGGAGAACTCAAAGAAATTCTGGATAGGAAAGGGCATTTCTCAGAGAATGAGACAAGGTGGATCATTCAAAGTCTCGCATCAGCTATAGCATATCTTCACAATAATGGTAAGAAGAGGGTTATCCAGCTCATTGACCCCATGAATACTGATATCACTTTTGTTTAAGGGTAATTGTATTCCAGATTCATAGTCATAAATAACACCTGCTAATATAGAAGATTTAATTTTTCAGTTAAATAATTGTTTCCTTTTTAACTTTCTTTCTAGATATGTTTTAATTAGAAACAAGGCAGGTATACAATACATTTTATATGAACGAAGATGAAATTATGAACATTTTTTATTCAACAGTTTGAAGAGCAGCTAATGTTATAAAATCAAAGGTAGACAAATCAATGGTAAAGGTGAAGTTCCCAAAAACATCTGTTAATCATAACATAATGTTCATAACATAACATCTGTTAATCATAACATAATGTTCATAAATACGAGATTCTAAGAATCTGTATGTTCTAGGCATTTTTTTTTGTCTTTTTAGACTTGCTCTAGAGCAGTTTTAGATCTCACAGGAAAACTGAGCAGAGGCCGGGCGCGGTGGCTCAAGCCTGTAATCCCAGCTTTGGGAGGCCGAGACGGGCGGATCACAGGTCAGGAGATCGAGACCATCCTGGCTAACACACGGTGAAACCCCGTCTCTACTAAAAATACAAAAAGTAGCCGGGCGTGGGTGGCGCGCCTGTAGTCCCAGCTATTTGGGAGGCTGAGGGGAGAGAATGGCGAAACCCGGGAGGCAGGCGAGGCCAGGCAGTGAGCTGAGATCCGGCCACTGCACTCCAGCCTGGGCGATAGGAGCCAGACTCCACCTCTCAAAAAAAAAAAAAAGAAGTTCCCAAAAACATCTGTTAATCATAACATAATGTTCATAACATAAGATTCTAAGAATCTGTATGTTCTAGGCATTGTTTTTTGTCTTTTTAGACTTTATTTTGGAGCAGTTTTAGATTCACAGTAAAACTGAGCAGAAGGTAGAGAGATTTTCTGTATACTCCCCTGCTCCCACACATGCACAACCTGCCCACTATCAGAATTCCCCACTAGAGTGATACATTACATTGACATATCATTGTCACCCGAAGTGAGCTTATATTAGGATTCACTCTTGGGGTTTTGACAAATGCGTAATGTCATTTATCCACCATTATAGTATCATACAGAGTGGTTTCATGGTACTTTAAAAACTACGTTTAAAAATGATTCGGATTGCCTTACTGTTCTTAGGTGTTACTGCTGCTGCTCCTCCCCCCGTTTTTTACCCTTCAAGGTTAGTTTGGCTTACATGTGACTTTAGAACCTTCTCATTTTACAGATGAACAAAAACTTTGTTCCAGAGAAGTGCAGTAACATGGTTTGGTGTGCCAGAGCTGGTACTGGAACCCAGGGGTTCATTCAGCAGATAGTTCCCGAGCACCTCCTGCACTGAGATTGGTCCTGGATTACAAAGATTAAAAGACAAGGCCCCTGCCCTCCAAGGAACTTGGGCTGGTGGGAGATTGAGTATTGAAAACAAGTTGTAATTCAGTGTGATAATCTCCCCAATGGGAAGCCATATAAAGCACAAGGATTACAGGAGTCTAGGTACCTCATTTGGCTTGGAAAGTCAGGAAAGAATTCACTGAAGGAGCAGTATTTGATCTGAGGAATACAAACTCAGAAAAAAATAAAAAAGACAGGCCTTCCAGGCAGAGGGAAATGATTTTTTCAAGGGCTTAATATTAGGCTATTGTCAGTCCTTCCCTATTAAGCTATAAATTCAGTATAATTCCAAACAAAATCTTGGCAACATTTTTCATGGAACTTGATAAGATTCTTCTCAAATGGGTAAAAAGTAGCCAACAATGAGAAAGAAAAACAATGAAGGCAGCAGGGAGATCTGCCCTGGCAAGGATAAAGGCATAATGATATGTTTGTTAAAGCTGTGTGGTATTTATGTAAAAAGAGACAAGAAGAGCAATGGAAACAATAAAAATTCCAAAAACAAAGCCTAGGAATTGTGTAAGGGAGCTATGAATGACTAGGTGTAATTGCCAGTTCAGGACTCATTCAATGCATTCCCCTGGCAATTATGTATATAACCTTTTTTTTTTTTTTTTTTTTTTTTTGAGACAGAGTCTTTTTCTGTCTCACCCAGACTGGAGCACAGTGATACGATCTTGGCTCACTGCATTCTGTGCCTCCCAGGCTCACGCTCTTCTCCTGCCTCAGCCTCCTGAGTAGCTGGGACTACAGGTGCCTGCCACCATGCCTGGCTAATTTTTTGTATTTTTAGTAGAGACGGGGTTTCACCATGTTAACCAGGATGGTCTCGATCTCCTGACCTCATGATCCACCTGCCTCGGCCTCCCAAAGTGCTGGGATTACAGGCATGAGCCACCGCGCCTGGCCATGTGTAACTTTTTAAGTCTGGGGAAATGACTGCAATGGATATGAACTGAATTAATTATTTTCAAAGGAAGTGTTTGGTATGTGGTTATTTGTATGTACATAAAAATTGTACCTGAGCTCTGATATGTTCAACTGGAGATTTTGTGTCTCAAGGGTTTTTGTTTGTTTAGTTTTTATTTTACTACATAAAGAGTAGGAAAATGTGTGTTGATGTTGTAGGAAAATATACTGAAATAAGTATAGTTTGTATGTATGTAGCCAAGTTACAGTGTGTTAAAATGTTTATGCTGACAGTAACATATGCTTAGAAGTAAAGAAGTAATCCTCTATTTGAAGACCTAAGGATGTGGGAAACCTGACTGGGTTTGTGACTAAGATGATCTCCCTCCTCCTGGGAATACTTAAGCCTGGATAGGATCCTCCTTCACAGTCCCCAGGCCACTCATCTTGAGGGGCAGCCAGTTGGGGCCACAGGGAAATAGGTAGAGGTGAGGGAGTCAAAGAAAATGGCTCCTTAAGGTTAGAAATGTGGAGGAAGGGTTTATAAATAAGAGAATAGAACAGGACAGACTATGCTTGGCCCTTGAATTTTTCAACAGTGGATATTAATTTGTCAAATATATTTATTCTATATGTGTCTCTCCTGTTTTTCCGTTATTTCATTTGATTTGTGGTTTATTTTCTTGGTAGATATTGTACATAGAGATCTGAAACTGGAAAATATAATGGTTAAAAGCAGCCTTACTGATGATAACAATGAAATAAACTTAAACATAAAGGTAAGATTAGCAATGGTGGTAAATATTTGCCTATAAACAGTTTGATAGCAAAGTGGCAAAGTACATCCTCTTTTTAGATGCATTTTGCTAGCTTTTGAGCAGCCAGAAAATAAGTGGTTTGTGTTAAAAAATAAAAATTTCACAAGAGGTTGTAACTGACAAGAATAATTTTGCAGGTTAAATGGAGTTATTGAATGTGTTTTTAAAGTACATATTCATTTGAATAATTCTAAGTCATTAGTTAATAGCAAGCAAACAGATACTCTGAATTCTAATTAATTTCAAAATTATGCCTGGTAATTTGATGTAAATGTGTTACAGATTTAGAGAAAAGCACACCTTGCCTATGCTTTTAATACTAAATTAATTCTAAAGTCTGTATTTCTTATTGAAAATTTTCCTGTGTATTAATATTTATGTCCTCAGTACAATTAATGTGCCAAGTGTTTATTCTTGAAGATTTTATTCAAATTAAGTGTTCCCTAATGTCAAATAAATGCTAGGATACATTATTTAGCACCATTATAGTGGCTGCTTTCAAAATGTATAAATGTGTTAATTTAGGAATAAAATGTTATCTGTGAGTAACTCACTCTGTTGCAGAAGCTAAGTCCTATGTAATAGAAATAGGTTTAACAACATTGTTGGTTTACCCAAGTAAATGTTCTTGAACAGTTCCATTGTAAACTCTATGAAGGCAGGGATTGTGCATGTCTTATTCACTTAGTACCTGAAGTAGTGCCTGGAACATAGTATGTGTTCACTTAACATTTGGTGAAGGAAGGAGTAGATGCTCTCCAAATAACTAAGTTGGATTGTGAAACCTTTTGTATATTTCGTGTGTCTGGATGGATTTTCCGTAGAGAAAGATAGGTATCATATGCTCCAAATGAGATATATATGAAAACTAATGGAGAAATTGATTCATCTATTTAGAGAAATAGTGATATCACATGTAAATAGGAGCATTTTCTTACTCCATAAGGCAATGGAAACTTTGCATTCATTGTCTCTGGACAAAGAGCCTATATTTGGTTACTTAATAAACGTGTCTGTTTTTCTGCTTTCAGTCTAAGCGTGTTCCAACTTGGGAGATAATTCCAAAGGCACATACTGAATATTTAATAACTAAATGTTTAATGACCAAGATTTAGAACTGAGCATAAGGCCTACAGTTGTAGCACTAGGCCACCAGTGTATTTGTAGTTAATACTTTGTTGTTGTGGTTTTCTTTCCTGTTAATATGCTTGTCGTAGTTTTTAATAGTGTAGTAATTGTTTTAATTAGTATACTCTAGAAACACAAAGGAAAAATAGTAAAGAAAAGATAGTGTTTACCAATTATAAATAATTATAAAAAAGGGGAGTTTCAGTGAGTGCTGATAGGGATAATTATTTGCATTTGTAACAGTGCTTTAAACTGGAATATAACTTGATTATCAGAAACATAGATAATATGTTAAAGCCAGAATGTATTTTACAATGAAAGAACTTTAAAAACAAAACAAAACCTTTTTTATATGAAAAAAGTTAAATGCTTCAAAATACAACTTCCCATGTTAGACTGGTAAATTTAATCAGACGGCAAGAACTGTTAAATCACTGTATTCTCTCAAGATTTGAGAATGCAAGCTTCTCTTTACCCAGTTTCTTCTCTATACAGAGAGGTGGGTGGGGAAGGAAAAGCAAAATTTTTATTAATCATTCAATTAAAGTCCTCCCACCCCCAAGAACCCCAGAATTCAATGCAAGTTCAATGTGAAGTCTTATCTTCAGAATGAGTGAGCTCTAGGACAGGAAAACAGGTGACTGTGCTTGAATTTCTTCTCCTAGGTGACTGATTTTGGCTTAGCGGTGAAGAAGCAAAGCAGGAGTGAAGCCATGCTGCAGGCCACATGTGGGACTCCTATCTATATGGGTAAGTTAGTAGACTTAAAATGAATTTTTGTTTTGAGACAGGATCATGCTCTGTTGCCCAGGCTGGAGTGCAGTGGCATGATCTTGGCTCACTGCAACCTTGACCTGGGCTCAGGCCATCCTCCCACCTCAGCCTCTCAAGTAGCTAGGACCACAGGTATATGCCACCACACCTGGCTAGTTATTATTTTTGTTTTTAAGAGAGAGTAGCCTCACTGTGTTGCCCAGGATGGTCTCAAACTCCTGGACTCACGCGATCCCTCCAGCCTCTGCTTTCCCAAGTGTTGGGATTACAGGTGTGAGACACTGCACCAGACTTGATTCTTTTATATGTAAAAAAGTAGAACAACCAGTATGGATTACAGCTTGAACAATTTGATTTTGCCATCATGATATAATGACCCATGATTTAGGCTACTTTTTCTTTTCTTGGGTCAAGCAATTTCACTTGTTTTAGTATTTTACTTACAGTTCCTATCTGTAAAAATTTTAAAAATTTTTGTTGTTTCTCTGGGCTCTTCTTAAAGTTGTTTATATCTCTTAGATAATCATACCTCAAACTTAATTATTACTTTTGTTAACTCATGTTAAAATCATGTACATGTTTTGCTTCTTTGCTTTTATTTTTTTTTGTTTGTTTCGAAACAGAGTCTTGCTCTGTTGCCCAGGCTGGAGTGCAGTGGTGCAGTTTGGGCTCACTACAACCTCCACCTCCTGGGTTGAAGCAATTCTCGTGCCTCAGCCTCCAGAGTAGCTGGGATTACAGGCACCTGCCACCATGCCTGGCTAATTTTTGTATTTTTAGTAGAGACAGTTTTTGTCATGTTGGCAAGGCTGGTCTCAAACTCCTGACTTCAAGTGATTCGCCTGCCTTGGCCTCCCAGTGTTGAGATTACAGGCGTAAGCCACCATGCCCAGCCCTCTTTGCATTTTTTTATCCAGTTTAATCGCCATCAAACAGTTTTTCATGGAGTATTGATTAAATATATTTTGTAAAGAAAGCAGCAGTTTCCTGTTTTTCTAAATGTGAGTTTTAACAGCTTTATTGAAGTTTAATTTAAATACCATAAAATATATTTGTGCATCCTTTACAATGTAAGATATATTTTTGTTTTACAATAAAAATACAGTGATTTTTCATACATCCACAGAGTTGTGCAACCATCACCACCATCCAGTTTCAAAACAAATCTACTCCAGAAAGTTCCCTCAGCCTGTTTATACTCAATCTTATTCCTATCCCAGCCCCAGATAGCCACTAATTGCTCTAGATTTGCCTTTTTGTCTCTGTAAATGTGCCTTTTCTTTCTTTTTTTTTTCTTTTTTTTTGGCCTTTTCTGGACATTTCATATAAATGGAATCATACAACACGTAGTCTTTTACATTTGGCTTGCTTTCACTTGGCATATGTTTTTGAGGTACGTTCATGTTGTGGCATGTATCTGTAGTCTGCTCCTACATATTGTCCATTGCGTGGATATAACACAGTTTGTTTATCTGCTTAGCAGCTGACGCACATGTGGATTTTTACCAGTTTGTGGCTATTATGAATAATGCTGCTATGAACATTGATGTACAGGTCTTTGTGAGGATATGTGGTTTCATTTAGAAGTGTTTTTAGAATTAGCTACCTAAGAGTGAAATTGTTAGATCATATGTTAAGTTTGTGTTTAACTTTTTATGAAATTGCCAAACTCTTTTACAAAATGACCATTACCTTCCCACCAGCAATTTGTGAGGGTTCCAGTTTCTCCATATCTTCGACAATTCTTGATATTACCTATTTTTAAATTATACCATTCTAGTCCCTAGGACTAGTATCTTAGGAAATGGTATCTTATTGTAGGAAGTGGTATCTTATTGTGATTTTTAATTTGCATTTTCCTAATGATTAATGATATTGAGCATCTTTCATGTGCTTACTAGTCATTCATATATCTTTTCTGGTGAAGTGTCTATTTTAATCTGTACCTATTGAGATAATCATATTTTTCTCTTTAAATTTATTAATGAAGTAATTACAGTAATAGATTTTAGAATGCTGAACCATCCTTGCACATTTAAATTCAACCTCACATGGTTTAATATACTACAGTATTCAACTTTGTCACCACTTTTATTTAGGAGCTTTGACTGTAGCTTTTCTTCTTTCGTGCTTCCTTTGTCTTTTCTGATGTTAGGGTTATGCTGACCTCATTTAAAAAATAATTTTTTAAGTTCTTATATGATTATGAACTTTTAAAATTATTATACTTTAAGTTCTGGGATACATATGCAGAACGTGAAGGTTTGTTACATAGGTATACATGTGCCATGGTGGTTTGCTGCACCCATCAACCCGTCATCTACATTAGGTATTTCTCCTAATGCTATCCCTCCTCTAGCCCCCAACCCCACACAGTCCCCAGTGTGTGATGTTCCCCTCCCTGTGTCCATGTGTTCTCATTGTTCAGCTCCCACTTATGAGTGAGAACATGCAGTGTTTGGTTTTCTGTTCCTGTGTTCACTTTGCTGAGAATGATGGTTTTCAGCTTCATCCATGTCCCTGCAAAGGACATGAACTCATCCTTTTTTATGGCTGCATAGTATTCCATGGTGTATATGTGCCACACTTTCTTTATCCCGTCTGTCATTGATGGGCATTTGGGTTGGTTCCAAGTCTTTGCTATTGTGAACCATGCCACAGTAAACATAAGTGTGCATATGTCTTTATAGCAGAATGATTTATAATCCTTTGGGTATATACCCAGTAATGGGATTGCTGGGTCAAATGATATTTCTGGTTCTAGATCCTTGAGGAATCATCACACTGTCTTCCACAATGGTTGAACTAATTTACACTCCTGCCAACAGTGTAAAAGCATTTCTATTTCTCCACATCCTCTCCAGCATCTGTTGTTTCCTGACTTTTTAGTGAACGCCATTCTTACTGGTATGAGATGGTATCTCATTATGGTTATGATTTGCATTTCTCTAATGACCAGTGATGATGAGCATTTTTTTTTCACATGTTTGTTGGCTGCATAAATGTCTTCTTTTGAAAAGTGTCTGTTCATATCCTTTGCCCACTTTTTGATGGGGTTGTTCTTTTCTTGTAAATTTAAGTTATTTGTAAATTCTGGATATTAGCCCTTTGTTAGATGGATAGATTGCAAAAATTTTCTCCCATTCTGTAGGTTGCCTGTTCACTCTAATGATAGTTTCTTTGTGCAGAAGCTCTTTAGTTTAATAGATCCCATTTGTCAAATTTGGCTTTTGTTGCCATTGCTTTTGGTGTTTTAGTAATGAAGTCTTTGCCCATGCCTATGTCCTGAATGGTGTTGCCTAGGTTTTCTTCCAGGGTTTTTATGGTTTTAGGTCTTACGTTTAAGTCTTTAATCCATCTTGAGTTAATTTTTGTGTAAGGTGTAAGGAAGGAGTCCGTTTTCAGTTTTCTGCATATGGCTAGCTAGTTTTCCCAACACCATTTATTAAATAGGGAATCCTTTTCCCATTGTTTGTTTCTGTCAGGTTTGTCAAAGATCAGATGGTTGTAGATGTGTGGGGTTATTTCTGAGGCCTCTGTTCGTTCCTTTGGTCTATATATCTGTTTTGGTACCAGTACCATGCTCTTTTGGTTACTGTAGCCTTGTAGTATAGTTTGAAGTCAGGTAGCATGATGCCTCCAGCTTTGCAGAACCGAAGGAGATAGGGACAGGAAAAACCCTTCATACAATCAATGAATCCAGGAGCTGGTTTTTTGAAAAGATTAACAAAATAGATAGGCTGCTAGCCAGACTAATAAAGAAAAAAGAGAGAAGAATCAAATAGACACAATAAAAAATAAAGGGGATATCAGCACTGATCCCACAGAAATACAAACTACCATCAGAGAATACTATAAATACCTCTACACAAATAAACTAGAAAATCTAGAAGAAATGGATAAATTTCTGGACACATACGCCCTCCCAAGACTAAACCAGGAAGAAGTCAAATCCCTGAATAGACCAATAACAAATTCTGAAATTGAGGCAATAATTAATAGCCTACCAACCAAAAAAAGCCTAGGACCAGACAGATTCACAGCCGAATTCTACCAGAGGTACAAAGAGGAGCTGGTACCATTCCTTCTGAAACTATTCCAAACAATAGAAAAAGAGAGAATCCTCCCTAACTCATTTTATGAGGCCAGCATCATCCTGATACCAAAACCTGACAGAGACACAACAAAAAAAGAAAATTTCAGCCCAGTGTCCCTGATGAACAGCGATGCGAAAATCCTCAATAAAATACTGGCAAAGTGAATCCAGCAGTACATCAAAAAGCTTATCAACCACAATCAAGTCAGCTTCAACCCTGGGATGCAAGGCTGGTTCAACATACACAAATCAGTAAATGTAATCCATCACATAAATAGAAGCAATGACAAAAACCACATGATTATCTCAATAGATGCAGAAAAGGCTTTCGATAAAATTCAGCACCCCTTCATGCTAAAAACTCTCAATAAACTAGGTACTGATGGAACATATCTCAAAAGTGCTATTTATGACACACCCACAGCCAATATCATACTGAATGGGCAAAGGCTGGAAGCATTCCCTTTGAAAACCTGCACAAGACAGGGATGCCCTCTCTCACCACTCCTATTCAACATAGTATTGGAAGTTCTGGCCAGGGCAGTCAGGCAAGAGAAATAAATAAAGGGTATTCAAATAGGAAGAGAGGAAGTCAAATTGTCCCTGTTTGCAGATGATGTGATTGTATATTTAGAAAACCCCATCATCTAAGCCCCACATCTCCTTAAGCTGCTAAGCAACTTCAGCAAAGTCTCAAGATACAAAATCAGTGTGCAAAAATGACGAGCATTCCTATATACCAATAATAGACAATCAGGGAGCCAAATCATGAGTGAACTCCCATTCACAATTGCTACAAAGAGAATCAAATATCTAGGAATCCAACTTACAAGGGATGTGAAGGACCTCTTCAAGGAAAACTACAAACCACTGCTCAATGAAATAAAAGAAGACACAAACAAATGGAAGAACATTCCATGCTCATGGATAGGAAGAATCAATATTGTGAAAATGGCCATACTGTCCAAAGTAATTTATAGATTCCATGCTATCCCCATCAAGCTACCATTGGCTTTCTTCACAGAATTAGAAAAAACTACTTTAAATTTCATATGGAACCATAAAATGAACCTTTTAGATACTAAAAATTATCTAATAACAGTTTGAAATTTCCTCTTAAATTTTTTGGTTCTACTACTTTTGGGGGGATAAAGTTTCTATTATATTTTCAATTTATACTAAATTATCCAAGTTTTCTACATTTTCTTGAATCATTTTGATAATTTATGTTTTTCTAGAAAATTGTTTCTTTTATTGAGATTTTAAGTTTCACTGGCATAAATATGCATATTATGTTTACTTATAATTTTCATATTCTCTTGTGTACCTGCAGTTATATCTTCCTATAACTTCAATATGCACATATTATCAGCTTTTATCACAGTTTCTATATATGTAAATATAATAGGAATTATGTCACTCATTTCTAAAAAATTTTTTGAGGACCTACTTCGTGTCAGACATTGTTCTAGGTGTTAAAAATATAACAGTGAACAAAACATAAAAATGTTTTGCCTTCATAGAACTTAACATTCTTGTGGCACAAATATTAAACAAGATTTTTATAAATCTGATGTTTTAGAGCAAAGTGCTGAGTACAAAAAAAATAAGAAGGGTGATAGGAAGTGTTTAGATGACAATAATTTTTTCTATCAGGTTGACATGATAAGTAAATGAGAAAATATATGTAAAGTGCTTAGCAGTGTCTAGCAGTTAGGCCTGAATTTTAGCTCTTTGTAATAATACTAATAATTTTATCTAAATCAAATTTGTTAGTGGTTAGGACAGTTAATAAGTAAAGCTCCCAATGGGCTTTTCAAGAACCAGCTCATATCTAATTGTTATTTGGTTTGCTTTTTCATTAATTTCTGCTTTTACTTTTCTGAATTCCTTCTTTGTGCTTTATTTTGGTTTGTTTGTTTATTTTATTTTATTTTTTTGAGACAGGGCCTCCCTCTGTTGCTTAGGGTGGAGTGCAATGCTGCAGTCACGGCTTACTGCAGCCTCAGCCTCCTAGGTTCAAGCGTTCCTCCCACCTCAGCCTCCCCAGGAGCCAGAAGCACAGGCATGTGCCACCATTCCCAGATAACTTTTTTCTTTTTAATTTTTAGCAGAGACAAGGTCTCACTATGTTGCCCCAGCTGATCTCAAACTCCTGGATTCAAGTGATCCTCCTGCATTGGCCTGCCAAAGTGCTGGGATTATAGACATGAGCCACTGTGGCTGGTGGTTTGTTTTTTATTATAACTCCCTAAGTTGAATACATACTTATTATCAGGCTTATTTTCTATGAAATTCATTGAAGACTGTATATTTTCCTCTGAGTACCTCGATTTTTTTTTTTTTTTGTCATACAGTGTTGTGTGATTCATCTCTTGATATACTATAATTTTAATTTTAGTCTTCTTTAATTGAAAAATTATTTAGAAGTGTTTTTAGAATTTTTACAGGTGGTTGAGATGTGTTTGAAACTCATGAGAATGCACGTTAGTTGTCCTAGCCTTTTGGTTTATCTGTCTGGTTTTCTTTATTGTGGTAGGTGACTGTGTCTTAAAGGTTTTCAACTTTTAGGAATTTTCTTTGTGACCAAACACATGATCAGCTTTTGAAAATGATGCATTGGATATTTTAAAAATATGTATATATACCTGGTTTGTTGAGCATAAAAATTTCTCTGTGTGCTTATTAAATCAAATGTGACTTTTTTGGGATTCAGATCTTCCATATTGTTGGTGTATGTTTGCTTGCCACTTCTGTTGATCGCTAACAGAGTCATTCACCAAGATAGGTCTTTGACACATTGTTTTTGTACTTTGAGTAGATTTTTAAAAATCAGCTTTTTAGGAATATAATTTACTGGCAATAAGATGCACAAATTTTAAGTTTTGACAAATGCATACACTTGTGTAATCACTACCCCCTCATGTTCAAGTCATAGAACATTTCTATCACCCCAGAAAGTTCCTTTGTGTCCCTTTCAGTCAATCCCCCACCCATAACCACTGACGATTTCTATTGCCACAGCTCAGTTTTGCATATCTAGAAGTTTATCTAAATTGAATCATACAGTACAAACTCTTTTGTGTTTGTCTTCTTCTTTTGTCGTACGCCATGATTTTGAGACTTATCCATGTTGTTGTATCAGTAGTTTATTTATTTTTATTACTGAAGAGTATACCTAATTCATTGCTTTTTTTGTCTGCTAGATGCATAAAGTTTTGAAATTGTTTTATCTTATTTGGGAAAAGGCTACTTTAGATTCTGTTCATATCCCCCTGTTGGCAAAAGACATCTGGTCTGTAGTTACATGGGGAAAATATATTCAAGCACCCTGAGTTTTATGCCTCCTTATTAGTTGTCTACACTGATAACAAGTGAGAGAACAAGAGAGAAGACAGATGGTTTGTGGAGCTTTGCTAACTTCCTGAATGGCTTCTTAGCAGTTACTCTGGCCTCTGCATCCCTGTGAGGGCTGGGATGATGGTGCAAATTGAAATGCCCCTGATAATTAAGGTGACTCTGAAGGAGCCAGGAATTCCTGTCCCCTGCTGTGTGCTGCACCAGTGTGGAAATCCTTCATTGAATCCAGTCACAGAATTTGCCCTTGTCATAGATGTGTGGCCATAGAGCAACTGGAACTTTAAAAATTCCATATTTAAAGATTTTAAGTAGTGTTAATGAATACAAATAGCAGCTTAAAGGAAAATATTAGTTAATTTTCAATTATTTGGAGACAGATTGCTCAGTGTTAGTCATCTGTACCTTCTTTCTTCTGTTTAATCTTTTGACCCCTTTTTGTTGCCTTTCATTTCTTTAACTCTAGGCAGAGGAAAAAGGAGAAAATGAAATTCCATTTGTTTTAGTAGTTATCAAAAAGTGTGTGTGTGTGTGTGTGTGTGTATGTAAGTGGGAAAGATTGAAACTTTTCTAACATAAAAATGCACCTTTTGCATAGAAGGCACTCTGCAGCTGTGTAACTTTAGGCAAGTCACTTAATATATCTGAAACTTAGTTTCCTCATTGGCAAAGGGAGTCAAATGCTTACATACCTATCTCACAGAATTCTTAACATACTTTATACAAGTAACAACTTATGCAAAAGTACTTTATAAATTTTAAAGTTCTATTGAAATATGTACATATATTTTATTTTTCTGCTTATAATTACTTTCTTTTTATTTTTTCTTAAAGATATCTGATTCCTAGCTGTAGAGGTACAATAGACATGTTCCTGCAATGTCATTTGTGACTTTTTAAAAAGGCAGCCAGCTGAGTGTAGTGTCTCATGCCAGTAATCCCAGCTATTCAGGAGGCTGAGATGGGAGGATCACTTAAGGCCAGGAGTTTGAGACCAGCCTGAGCAACACAGCAAGACCCCATCTCTAAAATAATTTTTAAAAAACAATTAGCCAGGCATGATGGTATGCACCTGTAGTTCTAGCTACTCAGGAGGCTGAGGCGGGAGGATACCTTGAACCTAATAGTTTGAGGCTGCCGTGAACTATGATCATGCCACTGCACTCCAGCCTGGACAATAGAGTGAGACCCTGTCTCAAAAAATGTGTATATATATATGTGTATATATACACACACATGCACACACACACACATTTAGTATAGTCTATGACTTGTGACTAGTTGGCTTTTTGATCCAGTTTTATAGGAGCTCTCTCTTTGTCTTGGCTTTCTTATTTGAAAATGCAGAAAATAGTTCATATTCTGTTATAGGAGTGATGCTATTATTATTTTACTAAAGTGATTTATAACCATGTACCTTAGTTTTTCTGTGAATCCAGATTTCCACATATTGGGCTTGCATTATGTTACATCTACTTAAGGCATATATTTAATTCTATTTTGTGGAAAGGGCTGGGATATTGTTGTCTTCTACTATAACTACACAATCTTTGCAAAATCATTTCTTAACAATTTAAAGAAATAAAGGGTAGTGCATTTAGTTATACAGTTTACACCATTGTTCCATTAGAAGCTAAATGATAGGAGTGAGGATACAGTGACATCAATTGTTAAGGCCTGTGCATTATTCATTTAACATCTGCTGTTGGTTTTCTTTTCCCTATGGGAGAATAAATTACAGCACATCAGCACATTTTTCATGCTTTGTGTTTAAGCATTTAAAAGACATTTATTGTATTATTAATATTATTTTATTTCTGCTTGCTTGGCAGCCCCTGAAGTTATCAATGCCCACGACTATAGCCAGCAGTGTGACATTTGGAGCATAGGTGTCATAATGTACATGTTGTAAGTAGCCTGCTAAATGTACACTTTAAGATGAGTGGATAGTTTCTAACAGTAGAATGATATAGACTTTAAATTAAAACTAATATATGTTTTTAAAAAGTGATTTAAAAACCAATTGGGAGATCATTCTAAAAGTTCTCTTATTAGTTGTCAGGTACACATCCCTTAGGTATTTTTTAATACTGTAAATTTATAACTTTCAGCTTTGGTTTTCATTGATCTATAAATGCAACAATATGATCTGAGCAAAATGAAAAATCTTAACACCTCCTGTATCCCTTGCTACAAACCAAAAGCTTCATGAAGTTCACTTATAGCTTATCAGGTGTAGGCAAGTACTGTGGCCTGGCACTGGTTCTGCCCATACAGGCAGAGCATAGGTGGGAGCGGGTACTAACTAGGCAGAGGGTCACTCAGGATCTAGGGGAGTATTCTACAGTTCCCAGTTCCCTTAATGCTGCTGTAGCCTTCAGTCATTCTTGTTCTTCCTTCTCTTTCATTCTCAAGATTCAGTCAAACTCCATGTCCTGCTCATTTTTCCTTTGAAATATCCTTACCTATTCTTTGATTTCTCTTTACCTGTATCTTTTCTCCTTATGATTCCTTTTCTAGACTATTGCAGGGTCTTTCTGACTGTTCTCCCTACTTCTGGACACCCTCCCCAGTCTGTCCTTCATGTTGCTGCCAGGGGTGTCCTTTCAAATCACAAATCTGATCATACTGCTTCCCTGATTAAAAGCCTTTGATATATATATACATACATATATATATATTTGTATACAGATAAGTATCAGAGCATCCTGGCATGGCATGGCATGGCATAGCAGGTCTTTCATGACCTGACTCCAGCATGCCTTTCCAGTTTGGGGCTAGATATGTATTCCTGTGCACCTACACTGTGCTGTGATGATTCCAGGTCACATTTCAATACTCGGACGCACCCTGTGTCGCATGCCTCTGGGGTGTGTATGGGTATGTGTGTATTCTTTTTCTTTATAAGCTTCTTTCCTGGGTGGACTTCAAACATTAAAGCCTTCTATTTCTCTACTCCTACTTTACCCCACCATAGCAGAGTTCCTACGTTTATTATGTATATACTTTCTCATGCTCCACAAAAGATTTTAAGGTAGCATGCAAAACAGTAATGTTGAAAGAAAAAATAATAAAATAGGAACATTTAACCAGGAAGGTTTGTACTTGTGTAAATCCGATAGAATTCATTGTTCCCTTTTATGTAGTCTCATAAAGCTTTTAAAAACTATATTATAATATTATATATATTGTATCTGTTTTCCTTGTTCCAAATTCCATGGAGGACAGAGACCTTAGATTATTCATCTTTGCATTCCTGGTATGTGGTATAAGAGACATACATTCAGTGCTCAGTATGTTTGTTAAATTGAATTAAAGTGAATTTTCTAAGAGGTGTTCTGAAAAGTTAGTGACCATTGTTCTGCCTCTTGGTGAATGTGAACATTTTTATGTTGATGCAACATTAGTTTTATGGTCATATTGAAGATTTCACTATGCACTACCTCTTCCAGATCATTTCTAAATATTGACATCACAGTAGTTACATTTTCACAGGTCTGTGAAATGGAATACACAGGCAGTAGAAATTGGATGATGTGATTGTAGCTGTAACTCAGCTGGTCAACACACATCGTTGCTTAGATTACATAAAGTATAAAAGTATTCAAAAAGTTTTTGATCATTTTGTGCTGATTAAAATCATGGTGCAAAAATTCTGAGCCTTAGTCTTTAATTAAAATATAGCTTTTAAATTAATATTTATACTCTCAAGGCTTTATCAAAAGCATAAGTCAAACATCCTACATATAATCTAATATTATGCAATTCATATAGTGTTTGCTGCCTTCTTAGTTTGAACTTGGTGTTCAGGAAGGTGAATGTATTATATCTTAACTATCTTTCTCTTTCTTAGAAATATAATTTTAATTTTTCTGCTTCAGAGTGTGACTGCATATCATCATAATGACGTTGTCTTTTCTTTACAGTAGACTCTTACTTAGCTAATCAGTGCCTATTCATTAATCTGTCTGAGCCCAATGGTGTTATAATTTCCTTCACCAAGAGCACAAACATATTACCTTCTCCAGGGGGTTTATTTGCTTGTTTTTCAGTGACCTCTGATTCATTTCTATTTAATCAGATAGTGCTAACATACTTTCTCAAGGTGAAATTAGCATAAGTAAATATTCTTTGTAGTTACTGTCCTCTGCTGTTTTGATTTCTATGAATGCAACAAAATAGTGGGAAGACTTTAAGAGACGTTTTTCATTTCTTGGATTCCCTTTTCTGGATGTGGAGGAAATTGCTGTCATAAAATTTTGTATGCTGCTGATTAACCAACCGTTAGATACATTTTTATGTAAGTAAAATTGCAAAGAACAGAAAAAAAGTGAACTTTTTAAGATGTAGCCCTTAAGCTATAGTTGCATGCTAGTCAGGCAATGTAGAGGCAGCTAAGAAATTGGTGGATGTGTATATCACTGGTTGATAACAGGCTCAATGAAGTAGGCCTTTGCTGGCCTGCACTATTATAATATATAGTAATTGTCCAGAAGGCCATTTTTCTGGCTATTTTGTTTTCCATAGCTTTTTAATTGCATTTTAAAACTAAATATCTAGGCAAATAGGATGAGACAGAGGAAATCAGAATGAGCTAGAGAGATAAAAAGTATTAAAATAAGAGTTTGCAAAACAATATGATACTGATAAATACTTAGTAAGAACCTATTGATAAATGAAAAAGCTCTATTGTCCGGTCTAGTTTGATAAACCACTAGGATGAAAGCAACTTTTCTCCCCACAAAAGTTATCATAATCATCATTATTACTATGAAAAAATCAAATTTTGACTTATTCAGAAAATGTTCATGAGTTAGATTTTTAAATAATTAAAAATATAAAGAAAATTAGTAAAAATGTAACTGTTAAAAGACATAGAGATTAGTATACTTATGTACAGTGTAGACCAGCAGTTTGGGAAGTATAATGAAATTACACCATTTTATTCTTTCATCAATGAAGTATAAAAATATATTCCTGAGAGTTGAAGAATAGACACAGAGTTGCCCCTGTGATGAATCTAATTTCATCTGTTTGGTTGTCTTTGGACAAATCTGGTTGTTGGCTTAGGATTGCCCTCAGGTGTTGGAGTTGACAGTAATGAGGATGGCTGACATTTGTTGATATTGTATTATGAAGAATTGAAGTCAGCTTTTAAGCTTGTTCTTGTAGTTTTGACCTAGATCACTTATTGAAGTAATAGCTTTATAGGCTTGCCATGTTCTGTTAAGAGTCTAAAGATACATTGTTTCTGTATTACAAGCCCATGTTTACTTTATACACACTGCTCATGGTTTTACTGATGTTGGTCATTATGTGTACTCAGCTTTCACCCTTTCAGGCCAAAGGGTCAAATTATTGTCTGATTTTTCCACATTCAGACCCTTTTCATTTCATATACAATTTTTGAAGAGTTGTGTCAATTTTAATGGCTTTTTGGCTTTGACTCAGATCCTATAGAAATTCCCAGGGTTAGGGCTGGGCACATTGGTGCACGCCTGTAATCCCAGCATTTTGGGAGGCCAAGGCAGGTAGATCACTTGAGGTCAGAAGTTCGAGGCCAGCCTGGTCAACATGGTGAAACCCTATCTCTACTAAAAATACAAAAATTAGCCGGGTGTGGTGGTGCATGCCTGTAATCCCTGCTACTCAGGAGGCTGAGGCAAGAGAATGACTTGAATCCAGGAGGTGGAGGTTGCAGTGAGCCGACATCACACCACTGCACTCCAGCCTGGGAGACAGAGTAAGACTCCATCTCAAAAAATAGAAAGAAATTCCCAGGGTTAGTCTTGGTTTATTTTTATTATTGCTAACATTTGTATAGTATTTTACTACGGATAAAAGCCTTAGCTGGTCATTAGACTTTGGTAACTAATTAGACCCTGATAACTCACTGTATTTTTCAGTTGGGTCAATTTGCATTATGTACCTTAAGGTATTACCTTCCTGTTGCTCACTCTCAAAGTGTATCTCCTTCATTAGCTATGACTATTATTGTACACTTACACTCACCTTCCCATATTTTAGCCCCAGTTAAGCTTAGTGTTTCCCCACCTGCAAGAGCTTTGGGTCATTGCTAATCTGGAGGTTTTAGTGTATATTTGCGTACTTCCTCTACCAGATCCTTTCTCTAAATATTGAAATAAGAGCCTAGCACTGATCTTGGAAAACCCTGTTGCTTCCATTTTTACTTCCAGGCAGGTACCCATCTCTTCCCATCCTTTCCTTAAATATGAAGCAGCACTACTTCCAAGTCCTATGGAAACTTAATTTTAATAGCCTTATTTTTGTTATTTAAAAAATTTAAACAAAGTGATTGCTTTTGTTGCAGATTTTGTGGAGAACCACCCTTTTTGGCAAGCTCAGAAGAGAAGCTTTTTGAATTAATAAGAAAAGGAGAACTACATTTTGAAAATCCAGTCTGGAATTCCATAAGTGATTGTGGTAAGTATAAGTGTGTTATTATTTGCTAAAGCTAATATAAGTAACATAAGAAAGTTGGCCAGTGGTTAAAATGTTTTAAATCTCTGTTTCGTCATTAAATTTACTTGTGGAAATGAACACTATTTACTTGTGGAAATAGAAATATCTTCACTGTGATTGTTCATCATCAAAACTTTCAAAAACAGAAAATACGTAGTAAAAGTTAAAGAGGAAATTTGCTGATCATCTAGCTAATGTTTACTATAGACCATTAAACTAGGTAATCCAGGCAATAAAACTTCACTTTAGGCTTTAAATTTTATTTATTAGGCATTTATACTGATGATTTTTATTGTATACTTGACATCTTTCTTTCCTGTTATACAGACCTAATCCTAAAAAATTGTAAAATGTATGCTATTAATTGTAGTTAAAATAAATAAGATTTTTCAGGATTTTTTTCTTATTTTTAGCTAAAAGTGTTTTGAAACAACTTATGAAAGTAGATCCTGCTCACAGAATCACAGCTAAGGAACTACTAGATAACCAGTGGTTAACAGTAAGTTACAATATTACTTCTTTCTTTCTGACACGCTACCATTGCTCATTTCTTTTTATTTTGTCTTGGAATTTTCTGTATAATCTTAAAACAGTCAGTTAGTTTGATTTTCTGTCATATTAAAAAACATTGAGTCTTGACAAATTTCTGAAAATGGGCATTTTCAAACTGTTAGAACTGTTGTCACAGTTGTTTATATATATTTATAGAGGTTTAAATGATCTTTGTTCAGTGTCATGAAACTATCATGTCCAATAGAACAGAGCTGAAAAATGTCCAATATTATAGCTCTGGAAAGTTGAAACAGTCTATATAGTTCAGTGATGTAAAACACTGGAACCACTCACCTCTCTTTCAACTCTTGGGGTGTAGAAAATCTTTAGGGACTCAGAAAAGCCATGATCTCCAAACAGTGGCAGTCTCCTGGTTTGGAATTTTATTTATTTACATATTGCTTTCTGCCGTTAGACTAAATTCTTCAAGCACAGACCTTGTGTCTTACTGATCTTCGTATCCCTGCATCCAAACATTACCTGGTCACAAGAGGAACCTTGGAAAAGGCTACTGCTTATCCCTCAATATTTATTCTTCTCCTTCTATAATAATAAGGATCCTGACTTTTGGTTGGAAACATTGCTGTCCAGTTAAAAGACTCTTCCCCAGTGTTCTTTGCTAGTTATCGTGATGGTCAGTGAGATGCAAGTGGAAGTGGGTGCAATTTCTGGAAAGTGTCCTTAAATGGAGCTGGTGTGGCATTTCTCATGTACTTCCTCTTTCCTGGTAGATGCAGATGTGAATTTGAGTAGCCATATTAGATTATAAAGTGGAATTTGGAAATGGCAGAGCAACAAGATGCAAGAAACCATAATAGTAGCTCACAGAGCTGCCATGTCAACCCTTCACTGCCTACCTCCAGAATTTATGAATGGGAAACAGACTTCTGTCATCTTTAAAATACCCTATAGTGTGCAGCTGGACCTAATTTCGATTAATACAATCCTCAAACAATTGCTGAATGAGTGAATGATTCAGTAAGTGGATAGGTCTGTAGATACCTCAGAAATTTTTCTGTGAACTGAGATTAGAAATTATTAGAGCCATATGGGAATATTACTAGAGAGTATTCATCTATTAAAAATTGTAGATCCATTATTTGCTAGATACTGTGTTAGGTATTGGGGATACATGATATAATTACATTTAAAATGTAAATTAGCATATGATAATTTTTTTTGGGGGGGGACGGAGTCTCGCTCTGTCGTCGGGCTGGAGTGCAGTGGCACAATCTCGGCTCCTGGGTTCAAGCGATTCTCCTGCCTCAGCCTCCTTAGTAGCTGGGCACTAAGGAGGCACGTACCTCCTAAAGGCACCTACCACCACACCCAGCACATTTTTGTATTTTTTGTTTTGTATTTTATTTTGTATTTTGTATTTTTGTAGACACAGGGTTTCACCATGTTGGCCAGGATGGTCTCAATCTCTTGGCCTTGTGATCTGCCCGGCTCGGCCTCCCAAAGTGTTGGGATTACAGGCGTGAGCCACCATGCCCGGCCGATAATATTCTTAAAAGATCATTCTGACTATTTGGGTAGGGAATGGCTTGGAAATAGGGAATTAGATAGATGTTGAAGTAGTACTGTTGAGAGATAATAGTGACTTGGATAGAACAGAGATGAAGAGAAAAATGTGAGTTATATTTTAGAGGCATAATTGATAGGATTTGATGATGGATTAGATGAAGAATGAGGATAAGAGAGGAGATAAGGATGACATCTAGATTTTATTCAAATAACTGGTTCGATGTTGGTGCCATTTACTGAGATATGGAAGACTGTAGGAGAAATAGATTTCTTTCTGGGACAGGGATGGTGAATCAAGAGTTCTGTATTAGATAGGATCAGTTTGCAATGCTTACGTGGCATCCAAGTGGCGATACCAAACAGATAATTGAATATATGAGTTTGAAACTGGAAAGATTTAAGATGGAGATATAAATTTGAGAATCATGAGTATACAAACACCACATAAAGCCATTGGACTGAAGAGATAAATAAGGAAGAAAATACAGATAGAGAGAAGAGGCCCCAGCAACATGTCTTTAGGCACTAAAACATTAAGAACCTCAGATAAGTTTAGATACATAAATATATAGTGATATCACCCTCCTTTTAAGTTACCTAATTTTCCTTTGGCAATTTCTAATCATTGCTTTAAATAACTTTTTTTTCCTTTAAGGGCTAAAAATAGTCTTCATCCAAGAATGAATTATATTTGCCCTCTTCTATGAATGTGTTGCTCTCTCAGAGGATTCTGTGCAATAATTATTTCTGGCCTAAAGTAATTGTGCAAATGAGTTAGCAGCTAGATCACTGCAAAACTATATTGAGTAGGTTTGTAGTACAGCAAAATAAACTGTAAAACAGATGGTGTGCCTTAGAAATTTATCTCTTTTCAGCATCACACAACATTCGGGTTGGGCCATTTAATTATTTGTTTTCTAATTAGCACAACTTTATTTCTGGCTTTGGTCATTTTTCTAGTAGTCTCCATTTTTGAGCCTCTGTAACATTTGTCTCTATGAAGTCTTTGCCAAATGGATAGAGAAGTGACAGATATTGTGTGCTATATCGGAGTGTCCTAAGGAATTCAGTGGATGAAATTTAGAATACTGGCATTTTACAAACTTCTAAAAGGCAAAACTCTTCTTAACCACTTGAAGTCTTACTTTCTATGACTCATATCCTCTGTTTGAAGTAATCTAAGGAAAACATGATAGTTCTCTCAGCGCCCTGCTGCTTTATAACCAGAGCTTACCTTCTGCAATACCTAACACATAGTAACATTTTTCTATAAAAAGTTTCTATGGTTTAGCCTATGTACTGTGCATTTTGAAATATGGTAATTATCTGAAAAGTATTCTAAGAAAAATAACTATTTCTCTTGTACATTTAAGGGAATGGAATTTCAAATAAACACATACATATTGTCATCCTGTTTTAAAAAGTCAGAGGTTAGATGTAAGGAAAAATACCCAAGAAATGACTTTCTTGCAAAGAAAGAGTTTGACTCTAATGGGTGGGAATATGCCGGTTCTTTTCTTTCATTCATTTCTTCCTCGTTTCCTTTTACTGTCAACTGTGGTTCAGGAGTTAATTGCTTCTTATTAGGTAATTGCCTTGGTATTCCTTCAAAGTCTCCTGGTGACAAATAACACCAAGAATTTACATTTTAAACAAGTTTCCCAGGTATTTCTTCTGCCCACTTATGTTTAAAAGCCACTGCTATAAATTAAGGAAGCCAGTTTTTTTGTTTGTTTGTTTGTTTTGTTTTGTTTTGTTTTGTTTTTATGTCTTGCCAAAATGTAGTTTGAGCTTTAATGGTATTCAAACATTAATTCCTTCAACACATTGTGTGTGCACGCACGGGTGCGCCTACCAGGTACCAAGTGTAGGTATAAAATATAGTTAAAGCCACATAAGACATGGTCTCTGACATAAGGAACTTACAATTTAGTAAGGAAAACAACCTATGTATAAGATTCAATGCAAGGAAGAAAATGATAAATGACATAAGAAATTACAAAATGACCAGAGGTATGGAGGCAAGCAAGCGTGAAGTCAGAAAGTTTAATTTGACTGGCAGATAAGAAGCTTGAAGGAAAGAAGTGAGAAATGAGACCAGAAAAGGAAAGAAAATTGTGAGACTAAGAAAGAAAAGAAAATCATGAGTGGACTTGAATCCAGGTTACAATTTTAACTTCATTTCATAGGTAGTAAAGAACAGTTGTATGCTCTTTGAAATGAAAGAAATTATTAATATCGTTTAAGTGCATCAGTCTTGCCAGGTGGCTTATTTTAAATAGGACCTCAATCACCCAAATGTCTATATTGATTGTAGCAAGTATCATTTTATTTAATCCATCAGGTACTAGAGAGGTACAAAGATGAATAAAACAGTTCCTCTCCTTAAGTAATTAATTTACCACAAGTAAGTCTGTACTTTGCTTTGTAGTCACAACCTTACAAAAGCACTTTGTAATCAAGGTGTAGGGACTAATTTCAGAACAGTCTTTCCTAATGTATGAACAGGGCCTTTGTTCATTAATTTACGTATTGTTATTCGGGTTTTGATCATTAGCTTTTGACCTTTAGCTTTAACATATATACTCTATGTAAGAGGATGGAAATTTTCTGATACCTAACTAATTGTTGGCTGTTATTTTTTCCTTCTGTATATTTTCATCCTAAATATGTTAACTCTTACTTTATTTCACTGTATGTAGTTATTCATACATTCTGAATTAATCTTATATATGTGAATACATTTTTGAGTCTCTAATGAAGCTTTCCATAAAAATTACGTTAAGGAGGCCAGGCATGGTGGCTCACGTTTGTAATACCAGCACTTTGGGAGGCCGAGGTGGGTGGATCACAAGGTCAGGAGTTTGAGATCGGCCTGGCCAATATGGTAAACCCCATCTCTACTAAAAATACAAAAATTAGCCTGGCATGGTAGCGGGTGCCTCTAGTACTAGCTACTTGGGAGGCTAAGGCAGGAGAATCGCTTGAACCCAGGAGGTGGAGGTTGCAGTGAGCCAAGATCGCACCACTGCACTCCAACCTGGGTGACAGAGCGAGATTCCATCTCAAAAAAAAAAAAAAAAAAAAAAGTTTATGTTAAGGAAAAGCTCATGAGCCAGGACACTTGGGGATTTACTCAATATTCAATTATTGGTTATTACTCAATAATTCAACAAATGTTTATTAGATAACTACTATGTGCTTTGGAGGACACAAGGATCAGTCTGGCATGGTCCCTGCCCACAGGTTGCCCACAGCCTAATAAAGGGTTTAAAACAAAAACACTGGCAGAGAATGATAGATCCACAAGGACATAAATGTACTATAACAACTACTACTAAATTTCCAAGAAGAGAGCTATTATTCTTTTAAGCAAGCTTGTCCAACTCACAACCCAGCACAAATTCATAGACTGTCTTA